TCGATCGATACCCATAATTCCGACGAGTCGCGAACGGTGCCGATCGATACCCGCGGCAGGTTTTCAAGCCTCGTTCGGTCCGTTCGCTCCGTTTACTTCGTTTGCTCCGTCCGCTCCGTTTGCTCGGAGCGGTCGCACGAAAAGAGACAGAGGGGATTGGCCGAAAGCTCTGTTCCGTACGAGGAAGGCGGAGGGAGGATGGTTCCGTTCGCGTTCGACGTACCGCGTCGATCCGTAGAATTAAAAGCTCGCCGAGCGAATTTAAGTCGGCGAATGACAGCGAGTCGCCCTCGGGGTGAATAGACGCAGGGTAAAGAGGTTGGATGAAGGGTCGAAGGGTCGGGAGAAAAAGAGCGCAGGAGCGGGTACTCGCGCGAAACGGTATTGGAAGAAGAGAGAGAAGCGAACCGTGAGAGGGAAGCGGCGGCTGCCAGATAAGATAAGGGTGAGAAATCGCGCCGCTTCTGGATGCGGTAACATTAGACCGCCCACCAACACCGTCTCGTGTCCTCCCTCCGACAACGTTTCCTTCGTCGGGGTAAGGCGTTCCTCGGCTTAGCTCAGCACGGACCCCGAACAAACTCGCTATCGTCCTCGTATCGCGCGGCGGCCTGCCTCGATATCCCGGAATATCGAACTATGCACGCGTACATCGCTGTCGCTCGGGATATTCCCTTGGTTTAGGCGACGTGTAACGTCGGATTAACGACCGGTGGTCGTATACTGACCCGTGAACCCAAGACGGATCTCCCGGATCTATTTCTCGTCCTGCTCGTCCCGCCGACCTATCTGTAACGTCTTTCGCACCTCCTCCGACGCTGCCAAAGTTCTCTGGGAGCTGTTAAAACTGCTTGTCTCTCGTACACGTCTGGAAGTACGTTAAAGTTCGTCAAAGGGCAAGACTTCGTTCGTATCATGCGTCGCGTGGCTTTGCCCGCGAAACCAATAACATTTTTCGCACCCTCTTCTGGTCGATGGCCGGGAAGGCGAAGGTAAAAAGTAAAGCCTCTCCCTTGAGTAGCACTCGTTGCCGTTAAAGAGAAAATACTCTCGCCGATTATCGATCCTCCAAGCAGCGGGAACGAGCTTCACGGTTCGTCGAGATTATCGAGGAAAATTTTCTAGTACGCTTCTTACAACTCCGCGGGGAGGTAGCTACTCGTCGAAATTCGCTCTTTTCGTTTTTTTTTGTTTCACGCCTTTCTCACGTCCCGGTTGTCAGATACCGCGGCGGCGGTAAGAAACACAGACAACAGTTTACGGAGATCGCTTCCGATTTATCCGACGAGTCGCAGCTTCTTCAGAAGCGCGATCGCAAACGATACGTGAAATATCTTTGCCTAATCGCGTCGCTCGGTGTACACACCGTCTAATTGCGAATCGCATCGAACGGCTTCCGATGAATATGCAATGCGCATGCCTTAGCTATTCAATAGCCGGCGACGCGATCGCCCCAAGGCATCTTATTAGCGAGCTGTTATGAGCGAACCGACGGGAACCGCTTTTCGTTTCGTAGCGGAACCGTACCGCGCCGTTCGTCCACTCGTTCCTCTTTAATTTGATCCTCCGAATTAAAAGCCGCCGCCGCCGCCGCCGCCGCCGCCGCCGCCGCCTTCTCGAAACGCTCGTTTCTTTTATTCCGGCCGGCAGTTACGCCAGCCGATATTCCGATCCCGATAATCGATTCTCTGGTAATCGAATGGGTGCTCGGGAGCCGAGTAACCGACAGTCCGTTATAATCGAGTCTGGCCCGACAATACATAACTGCCTTCTATGTTTCCATAATATTCCAGTATATCGCACCTCCGTCCGTGAACATGGGGGCATTGTTCATTAAGAAACCTGACGAATATTCCAAATTGGCAGATGTTCGTCAGTTGTAAACCAGAACTTTTATAACATATCTTTCACTGATAATTCATCATAATATGAATTTTATATTCTTAGATATATTTCGCGACACGAGAGAGTGTGAAACGACGGAAAGTTTTATATCACCGGCTGTTTATATTTTTAAATGTTTTCCTAGTCGCGTCCCGTATGAATTACCGATGCAATTTTATTTAGTATTCGGCATCAAAAATTTATGTCGCCTCCGGAATTCATTCGAAACTGGGAGGCGTTCGTGGTGAAATGTAGGTCGTTCGCTCGTTCGAGTTTACTGCGGACGGAGAGGCATGGATCCACGGCGAAAAATCGTTGAAATACGGAACGTCTTTTATCGCGAATATGAAAATTTTTCTCGCTTGCGAGATACGCGGATGCTCGTTGGCTCGATTACTATGAAAAATAAACCGCGGAATCTTTCTCCTCCAAATTCCGTTATGCGAGTTCGGAATCGAACTAACCTGTTGCGCGAAAATATCCCTGCGTTGGATGAATCGGGTGGTTAAAAATCGAGAAGCGCGTGGAAACGAGTTTGGTAATCGTCCGCGGGAAATCAGAATGGAGATTCGAAAGCGATCGGGTTTCGTGGAAGGAAATCGGTCGACGATACGACAATGGCATTATTAAAGGTCGGAGGAACGGCGAGGAGTGGCGGGGTGGCGGTAGGTGAATTGAATTCGCGAAGTACGCCCGAGGGTGGTCGCCCAGAACGAGCCGGAGACGCGCACGCGAGTGTGCGGGCGTAAATACATCCCATGAATTTAGGTTAGCATGCGAGCAAAACCGCAGCACTTCACAGACCGACCCGGGCTCGCTTAATTATTGTCCGGGCTACAGGGGAGGGATGATAATCGGCTCGAATTAACGTAGGTACCCACCTGGACGACGGTTAAGCAAGTGGACGCAATCGCTTCCCGCGATTAGAACGTTCTAATTACTTTCCGCGCCGGAAAACTTTTTTCCAAGTTTCGAAACTTGATTCGATGCTCCGTTGGGATTTAATTAGTCGGTGAAGTGCAATGATCCTACGGATCGGTGCGGTCTTCGAATCGACTGTTCGACCAATTGCGGCTCTGCCGGATTTTTTAACGAGAGCGAGCGAGGTGCGAGGGCGTGATCCGATTAATACGCACGGTCGTCGCAGTTTGCGACGAAGGTTGATAAACGATTCATGCTCATCGATCGGCAAGTTTCCCCAAAGCAGCGTTTCACAGACTCCTGCGTAGATCGTGCGAAGGGGTATTACGTGGTCGTTCGACTACGTCCTTCGAGGAGAAGCGCGCCGACCCGTGTGCGCTATAATAATTTAATATAATGCCAAGTATCGGGAAACTCGTAGGAGCGTAACAATAGAAGGAGACGGGCCATGGTAGTCGATGGAGTCGCCGTGAAATATTCTCGATATAATGCCGTAGCTTCTTTCCTCTCGGCGTTTTCCGGCTTAGACCGCGCAATGACCCACCCGCACCGTTCCTCCTCGTCTCAACGCTCGATCCGTGTCTCTCTCTCTCTCTCTCTCTCCTCTTTTCTCTTGGCAGAAGAAAAACTCCTCTATGCCCGTCGTTTAATATTAGAATCGCGCTGTTTGCCTCTCATTCACGCCGGCGAGCAATAAGAGTGGATCAAAGATAAGAGATTGGCCGTTTCGGAATTTTCCAAGTTTACGACCGGAGTTTTATCGGCAGAAAATAGACGGTGCACAATCCCCGCGAGGTTTTCGCTAATTTGAAGCAGCTACTCGTAATATCTACAATCTCGATGAGACGAGGTAGCGCTTCCCTAAGTACTCCTGTTGACGATAACGACGTCAAAGCAAATTTGAATTACCGCTTCGAGCAGAGCCACGAGATGGATCGCGAGAAGGCGTACCAGCATCGATTACGTTCTTCCCTTAGGAAAATTGTTCTCGATGACGCTCTCGCGATTTTTTCCAGCCGAGTGAATCGTGAAATATCGCCTCGGTCGCAATAATAGCTAACTCGTACGAATGCCACCGCGCTGTCAAAAACCAAACGAGCATGGTTAGCGTGCATTTTACTAGCCGCGCATTACTCGTAAATTGGCGCGCTCGACACGAATTTCCATCAGCCGGGAACGCACGTTCGACGCGTTCGTTTATCGAAAGATTTTTCATATTTTCCTCGTTTTATCTCCCGCCCCGTCGCGTTTGTTTTACTTTCAGTTCTCGGAACCGCGACCCTGCGGCTTTTCCGTTCGGCTGAAAAATGTGCGGTGCGAAGTTTGCGCGATAAACATTAAATGTAACCGAGTCGAACAAAGTATCGAGGGCGAACTTGTAAAAACACGAGGAAACGAGTGGATAAAGTTTCGCGGGGATATCGTTCGGGGAAGAGGGATCGAGTCCATCTCGGTTGAAAGCCTCTCCAGCGTGCCCGAGATTTCGCGGCTTCGATTCGTTCGAACGAACAGTCGAATTGATTTACATCGACTGCGAACAACTGAGAACGTGAACTCTATAGAACGCTGGACAGTGGATCGGCATGCTCGTTTCGTTATGAAAATTACTGTAATCGGGGTTATCGACCTTCTACCCGTTTTCCTATTAAACTTCAGACATTGTGAAAACGTAATACCATTGCACAACGTTAATTAAACGACCCTAATGTTATCCAGTATTCTATAGAAATCACTGAGTAAGAAGAGACAGAAAGGGACGCTGAAGTTTATTAAGCAATTTCGAAAAAAATCTCTGTGTAACAACGCGCCGGAAAGAATCATTAAAACGCGACCGGAATATTTTCAATAACGAAATCGGTCTCGTTTCGCGTCTTTCTCTCTCTTTCCCGACGAAAGCCCCGGTTGAATGAATGGATTGCCGCGTGCATAAATTTTAATGCAACCTCTCCTCCCTATCGCACGGGCCGTTTCAGCGCGCCAGAACGCAACAAATAAATACGTACACGCTTTAATGCACGAACTGTTTCGAAGACGAAATTGCCGTGCAAATCGCGCCACATAAATTTATCCTCGGAACCGGGGACGGTGTTAAAACATAAAGGGATTGTTAAATTTGCATTTTTTTCTCAAGAGATTCGTTCGTTCGTTTTAATGCCGGGACGGATGCTGACCTGTCCCGTTGCTTTTGGTTTCAGAAACCGAGGCAGCTGCACTCGAGGTGATTTCATCGAGTCACGGGTGGATAAATGAAAGCGGGGGCAAGAAAGCCGTCGGGACGGAGAAAGAGAGACCGTGGGGGACGCCAATAACTCGCGTACCCACTAATTCTACTGGCAGTACTCGAGGTTTGGCCATGAACATGACGTCGCATCTCGAGGGTAACCGCGACCGACGGCGAAACATTCGTCCACTGTGAAGCCGGAAGGCCGCCAGCGGGGTGAGTCAATAATTTCTCAGTTTACTAAAAACCCTCGATTTGGACGTTGCGACGGGTCTTACGGGGATTCAATGCGTGCGCTCGCACACGTCATGAATACGTTGCGTCGATTCGGTCCAGATTAATTCGTACAACAAATTTCCCTCGCACCGATTACCCGCGAACTTTGACCTCTCCACGCCCACGTTTCGCGCCGATACCCGTTAAACTCGACAAAGACTACGCGGCTGCCGGTCGTTAATAATCGTTAGACGTCGACGAAGCAGCGGACCTACGACACAATCTAAGAACCGGGGCTTGATAGGGCGTCACCGTGCCGCACGCCCTATGGAAACGGATGCGATTACCTCCGCGATACTTTGTTCGCGCCCGAGCTTATTTTCATGTAACGCGCGCGCCGTTTTAAAGCCTGAAATAATCTCCTGGGGACCTGGCTCATAACTGCAAGCACCCGAGTAAAACTGACTCTGGGCGAAAATAAAATAGCAAAGTGCGGCTTCGTGGACGGGAAATTCACGCATGCTTGTATACGTCTCGCTGGCAGTAAACTGCGGCCCGAACCACTACCCGTTGTTTATCACCCAGACGTACCGTCGCGCGCGGCTCTCTGGACGCAAAGACGCATAATCGATAAGGTTTCCTTTAATAATCGGATATTCCAAAAAGTCTAAGAGGATCACGTGACTTCGTTCGATCGCGGACAATTTTATGAGAAACCTTTGAAGGACACAGGGTCCATTGTGTCGTTAGGAGACTGATTTGTGGCGCGTCGCGTCGCACCACGGAAGTAAGTAGAATAAAGTAGTGATGCGGTAATTTGGCGAGCCACTCCTTCGGATCTGGGTGGTGCATTATTTACGCAAACAGGCAGCGACGGAACGATGTCGGTGAGGGGCGTGGTTGTGTTGCAGCGGTGCGACCGCCGCTTGTCTGCAATGTGCAATGCATTGCAATGTGCACCGCGCGATACGAAACCACTTGGAGTTTTCACGGAGTTGCGCCACGCCGCGCGCACCGCGGCAACGGCGGCGGCGTTGCACCGGTCTGTTCCGCTTGTAACGTGTTTGCGGACGACGCGAGGAACGAAACGAGAATTCTGGAGAATGGGAAACGAGGGAACGGTCGAAAAAGTTTTATCGAATGCGGTCGCAACCGCCTTCGGTGTTACGGAACACAATTATCTTGGCTAACGTCGCTTACGCTATCTTCCCGAGTTAAACCCGACTGTGAGATTCTATGACTCTCGACGGTATCGAGGGTCGTTGATCTCTCCTAAACCGTAGCTAGAACGAGTATTCAGTTTCTTCATAAAAAAGTTGGATTCCTATGACCATCGTAGTTTATTGATTTCACGAAGCAGTTTACGCTGTGAGCACAGTCTTCCTTAGTTGTACCACCGAGGAGAGATTATTAAAGAATGGCAGCTATATGAGACTTTATGTCGAACGAAAATTTCGTCCATTTTTTACGTCATTTAGAATGTATTGCCACCGAAATAAGAAATAGAAGGCAAAATATCCGTCGTTGTTGAACAGTTTCTTTATTGCAAAAACTTTTTATTCGTCCTAGCGAAAAATATGTCAGACAAAAGTTGCGTCTCTAGCTGCCAGTTAAAAATGTTACTGACTGTATTTTGAGTCCCATTGGGCCCCGTCCTAACGATAACACGGACGCTGCCACTTTTTAACAGTAATTCCTCGGTACCTAGTACTGCCTCCTAAAAGGATATCGGTTCGAACCACTCGTACGACTCCTAACTATACCAAACAGGTTTCGGTTTGAACACGACTCGTACATTAAAGGTTAGCTCCTCGTTGGAAAGACGGAAGGGGACTCGAACTTGTGGGAGGTAGAAGTCGAGGACTTTAATACCGACAGGGCGAACTCGTAGCCACCGCGAAACGGAACTTGCTCGTGCCAAAAGTCGAAAGCCGCACGAATGAAATCGATCCAGTATCTCTCTCTCTCTCTCTCTCTCTCTCTCTCTCTCTCTCTCTCTCTCTCTCTCTCTTTGTCATCGAAACGTTCCGAGCGATTAAGAACCTTAACGATTCCTCGTTTTTCGCACGCTTTCGTTTATCTCGCTGCGTCTAATGCGAAAATAACGAAAAATTGTCTCATCAATTTCTTCGATGAGTAACTGTGCCAGACTTTGGATAGGACGCTGTTTAAACGTGCTTTATCTAACAGCATTGAAACGATTAAATGGTTAATTGAAATAGGTCGGCGGGGCGCGATGGTGAATAACGCGTTCCGATTATCGCGGCCCGAACCGAGCGGGCGCGCTACAAAACGAGATCCTTAAACCGTTGAATTAACTCGCCTTGAGCCATGAACTTTGACAAGTTTTTTTATTTATTAACGAGCGAACAGCTGAATCGGAAAGGGTAACCGAAATACTCCCCCGCCGGGGCTTAATGGGCCGAGCCGTGACTATAGCGGCGACAAATGTACTCGGTTCGATCAACGAGGAACAACGTGTACGAGGAATAGTTGCACACCGAGTATACGGATACAAAACAGTCCCCGTTCATGCATACTTTAGCAGCAGCTGTCCTAGCAGCTCCAATTCCCAAGCGTGTCGATAACGCGTCGGCTTAAGCGACGTTCACAACCGTGTGGCATTTCAATGCCTCCGGCTCGAAGCGCGTCGATCACTTTGGGGAAATCGACGCGTCTGTATCGATTCGCGATCCCTTCTAACGTGGCTTACTTTCATGGGCCAACCGATAATAATCCTGCGGTCCGTCAAACGATTACGCCGGATATTCTCTGAGCATTCGCCCGGGATAACGTCTGCGTACTTTAGTTATACATAACCGTGATCCCTTTGAGGTAGCTGCGATGCCCTTTAGAATCGCGGTTTATCGCGCACCGCCGTTAATTCGCGTCTTAAAGCGACGTCGCCCCGCTTTGAAAATGAAGTTCAGTCTCTGCGAATGCTCAAGCGTTCCTCTCGATTCTGACGAATATCGAACTGTTACGGATAAGCGTATCGCACGTGTATACGCGATAACGCACGCGTTCGCAGCGGATGCGCTTGCATATCCGCGGTAATTAGCTATCGGAAAATGGGTGCGCCGGCCCACTCGAATCTACGCAATACACGGTTGTGTACGTGTGCGTACCCTAGTTTCCGTAGATATCTCGCGTCTATTGCGTTTTAAGAAAAATCGTGAAAAATTCTGAGATCTCGTTACGATAGAAAATGGATGAGTCCCTCGACTTTAATAATTTCATCAGCATCATAGCAAAGTTCACTCGCAGCCCCGCTTCCGTCTCCTCTTCTATGCTCGTCTCTTCGTTTCCTTTAATGTCGCACCGCGCTTCTCGACACTTACTCGGGCAAATTTTACCTAACCTTCTCTCACACCAGAATCGTCTGTAATACGGCCATTGAATACTAATCTCTCGCTATTTCGTTTTCTATTTCCATTTTCCATGAAACATTTTTTATTCAAGCTTCTCCAGCATTTCAATTCTTTGTGAAGTTTCATGGGTCGAATTCTTGAGAGCATCTATGGACTTTCCTCCCTTTGTCTCGTACTTACGCGAATCTGGAAAAGGCCAGCGGTGACTCGAAAGCCGGGGGTTGCGGCTGCGATTCAAAGCGCAAACGTGCGCCAGAGAAGCTTGCCGCGCGACAAAGATACGACGGAAACTCCTGCTAGAACCAGGGAATATTAATCGCAGCCACTGTCGGTGGTATCCTCTTGCTAGAAGCCGGCGTCGCGACGCGCCGTTTCTCTCCTCGGCCTCTTCGCATTTCCCCCTTACCCTCTCAGGACCCTTTTCCGTGTACCACATCAAGCCTGGAGACGGCTACTAATGAGGCCAAAAACATCGGAGCCTGGAGTTACGACCGTCCCAAAAACGTTACCGGCGTGATTTAGAGGATGGTAATGGAGCGGACCTTTACGTAGTGCCGCCGCCGTCGGCTCTGCCCGTACCTCGGCGAATCCTTCTTTGGGCCCGGTCGGCGTTATCCCGTACCTATACTACTGGCACCATCGGTGATACCGTTTCTTTTATGCTCCTTATCTCTGTCACGTTGTCCGAACGGTCTCTGCTCACCACAGAACGTACCTTTCTACTCGCTCAGTGACTCGATACGTAGCATTTGATTATCTCTTCTAACTTTTCACGGACGTTTTACCTCGATCCTCTCGGATCAGGCGCGTAATGCAGCTTGAAAAAAATCCGCCGGTTCCAGCTTCTTGCCTGGAACGTACACTCCCACGACATTTTCCGTTTATCGCGTTTCATTCTAATTACGATCCCGTTATCTTCCGGCAGGATGCGCAAGGCTAATTTTTCCGGGCGTCGCGCCAGGACTTTTACCGTTACCGTTGCCGTTGTCGTTTTTATTAAATAGTATCGCGGCCAGACCGGGGGGGTAAAAATAATTCGGTGGGAAAGCGCGATTCGGTTCCAAGGCTATTAACGGTCGTTGCACCCCTCAGGGTCGCAGTTTTACCCGTTCGGACGTGTGTACGTAGGAAAGAAACGAACGGGTCTCTCGCGTGATAGAAGAAAGCCGGGCGTCACTCGCGAAGCGCGCGACCAACGCATCGCCCCAAAGGAAATTTGCGCAACCATTACTTATATCATGCCCTAGTCAGCCGCAGATGCAAAACATTTTTCTTTTGCGGCTTGCCGGTGACTGTGATGCAGTATAATAATATTCCAGCAGTTTTTCCCGGACGCCACTCGTTCCGGCCCGTGTCACCATGATCTTTACCATTAAACGTTAAGACCGGTCTCTTAACGAGCCTTGGAAAGGCGGACTCCTCGTCGATCCACGTTCGAAAAATCGCGGTTCAGAGAAGGGCGTTGACGCGCGTTTGATTCGGCCGGAGAAATGATCGCAAAAATTAACGTGGCAGAATTGAACGGGTGACATTTGGTACACGCGAGTACGAGCGTGTTCGTCCGCACCGTCGGACTCGGGCCGAACTCGACGTATTATACTGCCGGCATTATACGGCCGCGT